CTCCAGAATAGCCTCTGGAAGCAGTCAGCTTCCAATGTCGGCTTCAACGACATCCAACGATAACTCAAAAGTAATTCAAATTCTGCTTGACTACAAGCCGTTTTGTAGTCAAGAAAATTCTGGCAACCCTTCTGCCCCTGGATACCCCAAGAAACTCTCCAGAACAGCCTTGGGAGCCCCCAGGGTCGGCTTCAAAGCTGTCCAACAATAACTCAAAAGTAATTCAACATCTGCTTGACTACACATCGTTTTGTAGTCAAGCAATTTCTAGCAACTTCTCTGCTCCTGGATACCCCAAGAAACCCTCCATAATAGCCTTTGTAGCCCCCAACGTCGGCTTCAAAGACATCCAACAATAGCTCAAAAGTAGCTAAACCATTGCTTGACTACAAACCGTTTTGAAGTCAAGCACAGTCTCACCCCCCAATCTGCCCCAGGATATCCCCAAGAAGCCCTCCAGAGTAGCCTCGGAGAGCAGCGAGCCCTCAACGTCGGTTTCGAAGACATTCTAAAGTGACTCAAAGGTAACTCACAATTTGCTTGACTACAAACCGTTTTGTAGTCAAACCAATTCTACCCCCCCGCCTGCCCCAGGGTAAGCCCAGGAGACCCTCCAGAAGAGCCTCGAGAAACCAACTCATCCAGAGCCTAACTAAACCGACCCAAGCCTAACTCATCCAGTGCCAGACTCATCCGGTGCCAGACTCATCCAGTGCCAAACTCATCTGGTGCCAAACTCAGCTGGTGCCAATCTCATCCCGTTTGAAATTCATCCGGTGCCAAACTCACCCAGTGCCAAATTCATCCGGTGCCAAGTTCATTCGGTGCGAAATTCACCCGTTGCCAAACTCATCCCGTGCCAAGCTCATCCAGTGCCAGACTCATCCAGTGCCAATCTCATCTGGTACCCATTCATACTACCTCATCTGATGCCTGGCTCATCCGGTGCCTGACTCATCCGGTGCCTAACTCATTTGGGCCAACTCATCCGGTGACCGAGCTCATCTGGGTTCAATCGTCTGGTGGCTAACTCATCCGGTGACTGATGCATCCGGTCGCGGTTCACCCGAGCCGGCGGTCGGATGAGTCAGAGCGGACGAGTCGCAATCGGATGAAAGGAGGAGGACAGAGAAGAGTCGGATTGTCAAAAACACATCTGAAAGTCAAATTCCCAGCAATCCTGCGTAAAAGAATACGCAGAGGGGTGCCGGTCATCTCATCTTCCGCACATCTTCAAGGGAGCGATGAGAGTAGTATTCATATTGTGTAAGTGTACAGGAGGACGAGGAGGAGGAGGAGGAGGAGGAGGACGAGGACGAGGAGGAGGAGGAGAAGGAGGAGGAGGAGAAGGAGGAGGAGGAGGCGGAGAAGCAGGAGGAGGAGAATCAGCCAGTCCCCGGACCACGCTCTGCCCGGCTCCTCCCGCCCCCCTGACCCTACCGCCCCCCCTGCAGGCCGCCCTCCTCGCCCTCCCTGGACTTACGTCGGGCACGTGCCCCTACAGGAGGAATGTTCAAAGACAGTGCAACAATAGTACGGGGACGATTTTGTCAGGATTTTTGCTCATTTTGGAATATTGTTTTTTAGACAATCTTTCATTCTTCGTCCCAAAGCCGCCTGTAGGGGGACACGCCCGACCTAACCCCAGACCACGCTCGCTCCAAAGAGCTCTGCCCCCCCCCCTCCCCGGCTCCTTTCTCTCCCCGGGCCGCTGCCCTGGGCAGCCCTTCGGCTGCCGCGCCTCCGGGGCGGGAGCTTCTGAGGACCACCCCCCGGAGGATCCTTCCCAGCAGGCGGGGATGTAATTATAGCACCGCCTGGAGTTCCTAATGATCACCGCCTGGCGGGGATCCACTGATCACCGCCTTGAGTTTCTAATGATCATCACCTCGGGGGCCCCAGCGGGCGGTGGGTATAGTTATATGGGCCCATCCCCTGGGGCCAGCATGCACCCATAAAGAGGAAGCCCATGCCAAGGAGCCTCCTGCTTGCCTCCAGGGTGCCATGGGTTTCTTGAGTTTCGATGGTCTTGCTATGGAAAGCGTGACGATCGTCCGGGGGTCTCAGGGTTGGGTTTCTCGTGGAAGGTTTCTTGTGGTCGGGCCCTTAGTGGGCCCCGGAAACGGCAGGGCCTTTTTTTACCGTTTCCGAGAAAGTGTCTCTTGAAAATGGAAACGGCAAAAAAAGGCGACCAGAAACATAAAAAAATGGCTCCAGGATTGGAACCAGAGCCGGGACCGGTAAAAAACGGCGACGGAATTGGTAACAAAAACGGCGTCGGAACCGGCAAGAAAACGGCAAAGCGGAGCCGTTAGAATTTCAACGGCCCCATCGTCTCCAAGGCCCATTGAGGTCGGGCCCGTGGTGCATCCACCGCCCGCTGGGGCACCAGGACGTCGGTTCCCAGGCGGTGGACGTGGGCAAATCTCGGGCGAAGAGAGCTATGCACATGCACCGATCCTGGCAAGGCCCACCCTTGGCCCAGGATCGGTGCATATGCGTTCCCGGCCACGGCAGGGGGGCATCTGCACCGATCCTGGGCTCAGGATGGGCCTGGCCAGAATCGGTGTATGTGCATACAGTCGGGGCCCTGAAGAAGGAACCCTTTTCGTTGGGGAGGGGCTCCGTGTTCCTGAACTGTTTCGCAGCTTGCCTCAGATTATCCTTAGGTTTTCGATGCAAAATCGAAGTTCAACTCCTGGAGAATAGGGGCCCCGTTCCTTATTTAGGGTTCCTTAGGTCAACGCCTCGACTGTAGCTCTCTTTCCTCCAAACTCCCCGCCTTGCCGCGCTCGCGCCCCGCCCGCGCGGCGGGCGCGCCCCCCGCCCGGCAGCGGGAGGAGGAGGAGGAGGAGGAGGAGGAGGAGGAGGAGGAGGAGGAGGAGGGTGGAGGGCGCGGGCGGGCGCGGGGGGGCGAGGCGCGGGGGGCGAGGGTGCGGGATCCCCCCAGGACCGCCCCGCCGTGGCGCCTCCCCGCCCCCCGCACTGCGCGCCCGAGAGGGCCGCCACTAGTCGGCGGCACCCCTCCTCCTCCATCGTTCGTCCTTCCCCCCCCCGCCCTCCCCTCCTACCCCCCTCCTCCCCTCTCCTCCCCCTCCTCCTCCTCCTCCTCCCCCCCCTCCTCCTCCCCCCTCCAACCCCCTCATCCTTCCTCTACCTCCTCTATCCCCTCTATCTTTCTCATCCTCCACTTTCCTCGCCTCCTCCTCCTTCCCCCTCCTCCTCCTCCTCCTCCTAATCATCCCTCTCCCCGTCCTCGTCCTCGTCCTTCTCCCTGCTCCTCCCTGCTCCTCCCTGCTCCTCCTCCTCCTCCTCCTCCTCCTCCTCCTCCTGCTCCTCCTCCTCCTAACGTGTCGTCGTGCCGACCTGTCGAGCGTTTGTGTATACAGTCCACCCGCACAGTAAGGATGGGCAACCTTCCCAAAGGTGCCCTTGCATTCTTGCCTCTTCGGTCCATCCTTGGCCACTCTCGTTGGCCGCGCCCCGCTCGAGAAGCTTCGAAGTGGACGTCCAAGGCCCTTTCATCCCTATCGCGCATACTCATGATACGGGTCGACTGTAACTATGTGTGCGTCGGGGCGCATGTGGACGCCGCCACTGGAGCCTTAGGTGGAACTCCCTTATGGGGCCGCGAAGCGCTGTGCTGGGCGGGGGAGGCGCATGTGGACGCCGCCACTGGTGCCTCAGGTGGGGGCACGAGCCGCTGTGCTGGGTGGGGGAGACGCGTGTGGACGCCGCCGCTGGGGCCTTGGGTGGGGCCTCGCATCGGGCCGCGAAGCGCTCCGCCGGCACATACTTACTACGAGATGGTTACACCAGATGTTCGGGTCGGGGAGGAGGAGGAGGAGAAGGAGGAGGAGGAGGAGGAGGAGGAGGAGGAGGAGGAGCAGGCAGCCCGAGGAGGATGCGCAGCACCGGCATGTCCTCGAACGTCCCCGGAGCGGCCCCACACGCCCCGCGCAGCTTCCACCTCGCGGGGCGCGTGGCCCCCCCCCCCCCAACATTGCTCACGACGGCGTCAGGACGGGTGGGGGGGGGCGAGGAATCCTCCTCCTCTCCTCCTCTCCTCCTCCTCCTCCTCCTTTTCTCTCCTCCCTCCTCTTCCTCCTCCTCTTCCTCCTCTCCCTCTTCCCTCTCTCCCTCTCTCCCTCCTCCCTCCCGCATCTACTCACGACGGCGTCAGCAGCCGCTTGAGGGGGCCGAGGACTCCTCCAGGGACCATCGGCCAACGAAGATGTCCCCTGGAGGAGGGTCCAGCGCACCTCCCCTTTCACAACTCTCCCTTCTGGCGTCGGCTGCCACCCACGCGGCTCTCCCCCCTCCGCTGCCCCCCCTGCCCCCCCCCCCTTCGGCCTCGGCTCCCGCCCCCTGGCCCGCCCCCCCTGCTCCCCCCCCCTCCCCTCGGGCGCCTCCCCCTGCAGACCCCTCCCCTCGGGCGCCTCGGGCCCTCGCTCCCCTTCCCTCGCCCGCCCGCGGCGCCGTGCCCCGAGCCCGAGGCCTGGGCTCCGAGGCGGGAATTCCTACATGACCACCGCCTGGAGGATCCGTTTTCGGGGGCCTCCGCAGGCGGCGGAGATGGATACATTCGGGCCCCCGGGGGCCAACGTATGATTATGCATATCCACCGCCCGCCGGGGCACCAGGGCGTCAGTTCCCAGGCGGTGGATATGGGTAAATCCCCGCCTCGCACTGGTGGCCCTCCGCCTCGTCAGCCCGCTCCCTCCCCCCCCCTTCCCTGCTCCGAGCAGACGGACCTCCCCCCGCCATCTTCCTCCTCCCCCCCTCCTGCCCCGCCTCGTGCCCTTCTCCCCGCGCCCCGCCCCGTCCTCTGCTCCCCGCCCCCTCTGCCTGCCCCCCTCTGCTTTCCCCCTCCTCCTCCCCCCACCCGTCCTCGTCCAGCTTCCGCCTGGGCTGCATCAAGAAGCTCCCGGCTCGAGCTCCCGGGCGAGCCGCTCCGCGGCGGTGGCCCGCCTCGGCCCCCCCGGGCCACCCACGGCCCCATGGTCGCCGCAGGCGACGAGCACACCGTGCTCCTGAGGAGCGACGGGGCCGCCGTGGCCTGCGTGGAATGCAGCCAGCAGTGCGACCCCGGCGCTGGGCGAGGGCCTGTGCGTACGTGAGGTCGCGCAGGCGACTGGACCACGTGCTCTGGGAGCGCGGTGGCCGCCCTGGCTGCGGCAGAATGGTGGCTTGGGCAGAGCGATTCCCGGCGCTCTCGGAGGGCCTGGCGTACGTGCAGGTCGCCGCAGGCGACTGGCACACCGTGCTCCTGAGGAGCGACGGGGCCGCCGTGGCCTGCGGCAGCAATCAATACCAGCAGTGCGACCTCCCGGCGCTGGGCGAGGGCCTGGCGTACGTGCAGGTCGCCGCAGGCGACTGGCACACCGTGCTCCTGAGGAGCGACGGGGCCGCCCTGGCCTGCGGCTGGAATGCAGACCAGCAGTGCGACCTCCCGGCGCTGGGCGAGGGCCTGGCGTACGTGCAGGTCGCCGCAGGCGGCGCGCACACCGTGCTCCTGAGAAGCGACGGGGCCGCCGTGGCCTGCGGCAGCAATCAATACCAGCAGCGCGATCTCCCGGCGCTGGGCGAGGGCCTGGCGTACGTGCAGGTCGCCGCAGGCGGCGTGCACACCGTGCTCCTGAGGAGCGACGGGGCCGCCGTGGCCTGCGGCATCAATCAATACCAGCAGTGCGACCTCCCGGCGCTGGGCGAGGGCCTGGCGTACGTGCAGGTCGCCGCAGGCGGCGTGCACACCGTGCTCCTGAGGAGCGACGGGGCCGCCGTGGCCTGCGGCTGGAATGTATTCCAGCAGTGCGACCTCCCGGCGCTTCGAACCCGCTGGGCGCACTGGCTGCGGTGGCAGCCCTGCCTCCGTTACGTGGCGTGCCGCCCGCCGCCCAGGGCATTGCCGGCGCCGGACGCGTCGCCCTCGGCGTTGTTCCGCGTCCCCGAGTCCATCGACCTGGCTGCTGCAAACGAGCTCCAGGCTGCTGTCCGCAGGCGCGCGATGGCCTTGTGTGGCAACGACCTGAGCGCCTACTACCCCAAGATCGTGCTGTCGTACGCCACTGGCTCGCGAGGAGGCTGCGACGGGCAGGGGGCGGGCCCGGGAGTTGTGCACGTGTCGGCTCTCATGCATGCACTGTTCGACGCAGACCTTCCGTGCTACTCTGGCTTGACCCTGCCAGTTGGCCGGAACTGGGAAGTATCCAGCTGCTTGCGGCAAGTCCCGCCACTATGCCAGCCTAGCGTTCTGGGCGGCGATTGTTCGAGGAGGCACGGGAGACCGTCACGTTTGGCACTTCGTGTCGCCTGGTGTGGGTGGGCCGCGTTGAGGATTAGATGGTGATGGTGATGATGCTGCTGCTGATGATGATGCTGATGGTGATGATGATGATGATGCTGCTGATGCTGCTGATGCTGATGATGATCACGATGGCGATGACGATTACGATGACGATGGTGATGACGATGACCATGATGATGGTGCTGCTGCTGCTGATGGTGCCGGTGACGATGACGATGACGATGATGATGATGATGATTATGATGATGATGATGATAATGATGATGATGATGATGATGATGAGGAGGAGGAGGAGGAGGAGGAGGAGGATGATGATGATGATGATGATGGTGGTGGTGGTGGTGGTGGTGGTGGTGGTGGTGGTGATGATGATGATGATGATGATGAGGAGGAGGAGGAGGAGGAGGATGGAGATGATGATGATGATGGTGATGATGATGATGCTGATGCTGATGCGGAGGCTGATGCTGATGCAGATGATGATGATGATGATGATGATGATGATGATGATGATGATGATGATGATGATGGTGATGGTGGGGATCATGGTGATGATGATGATGCTGGTGGTGGTGTCTGTAGTTATGGCGATAATGACGATTGGGAGCAGCAGGAGGAGGAGGAGGAGGAGGAAGAGGAAGGTCGTCGCATTGACACGTTTCGTCTACATTATTTGAGGTGTTCTTTTGGAACTCGTTTGGGCCGTCTCGAGGCTGTCTTGGCCGGGAGGCCGTTACGTCTGACATTTCGTGATTTCAGGTTTGGGGGAGCCGTGATTATGAGGATTATGGGCATGATGGCGATCATGATTAAGACGATGATGATGTTGATGCTGATGATGCTGATGCTGATGCTGCTGCTGCTGATGATGATGGTGATACTGATCATGATGATGCTGCTGATGCTGCTGATGATGAGGATGATGTTGCTGATGATGATAATGCTGCTGATGATGATGATGATGATGGTGATGATGATGATGATGATGGTGGTGATAGTGCCGGCCAAGAGCAATGAGTACGGGTGATGACGATGACGATGATGAGGATGAGGATGAGGATGAAGATGATGAGGAGGATGGTGATGATGCTGGTGATGATGAGGATGATGATGGCGTTGCCTTTGCTGTGGCTCTTGTTGGTTATCAGAATGATGATGGCACTGTGGTGTTGATGATGATGATGCCGAGGATGGTCATGTTGTTGATGATGCTGATGGTCATGATGCTGCTGCTGATGATGATGATGCTCATGATTATGATACTGACGCTGGTGATGACAATGGTAGTAGTGACGCTGGTGATGACAATGGTAGTAGTGATGATGATGATGATGATGATGATGATGATGATGATGATGATGATGATGATGCTGATGATGGTGATGACGATGATGATGATACTGCTACTGGTGGTGATGGTGATGGTAGTGTTTGTGGTGATGCTGTTGCTGATGGTGACCACGATAATGATGACCGATGAGGACGAAAGGCAGGAGGAGAAATTGAAGGAAGAGAACGTCCGTCACATGTGACACCTTTCGTCTTCATGATTTGGGGAGCTCGAAGGGAACTTGCGTGGGCTGTGTTTGAGATGTTTCGCCCTCGTGTGAGGCAGTATTGGAAGTCCCTGGGGGCCTTCTTGGCCAGCCTGGGGGGCGCCTTGGTGCCGTCTTGAGCGGTCGAAGGGCCGTCCAAGGCTGTCTTGGGCCCCATCCCATTGGAGACCCTCTTGGGCCGTCTTGGGTCCATCTTGCATGGCTCGTGGGCCCTCTCGGGGTCGTCTTGGGCCATCTTTTGGACCTCGCGGGGGCTTCCTGGGCCGTCGTGAAGCCACCATGGAGGCTTCTTGGGCCGCCCTGAGCTGACAGAAGCCCGAACAGGCGAGAACGCGAAATCCTATACACGCCACAGGGGCATCAATGAGCCTAGCGTACTCGAACCCCGTTGGAGGTCATCTTGTGGCCCTTTTTAGACCCTCTTGGAGGCACCCTGGGCCGCGTTGAGACCATACATACTCGGCCGCCGCGGGGCCATTTTGACCCGTCTCCGAGGCATCCTGGGACATCTTGGTGTCTCTGGTTGCTTGCATGGGCCGTCTTGGAAGCGCAGGACGCGGACCCATCGTTTCTTCCCACAACCGTGGCCTCGGGAGCGCAGATCCTTCTTGTTACAGGGGATCGTTGCCCCAGGCGGGGACGCAGCACGATGCTGGTAGAAGGGAGGGAGTTCATTCTTAGAATGCAGCGCCGGGCAGCACATGGCATTCTAACACGCCTGCATCGTGCAGGCACGGTGGCGGATTCAAGATGCGGTTGGTTAAGCGCGGCGTGCCGCAAGCCAGAGTTCTCATCGCATTGTTGACACCTGCCTTCTATGAATCAAGTGCATGCTTGCAGGAAGTGAGTCTGGCCGCGGAGTTCGGCATCCCAGTGGTTCCTCTGCGATTTGAAGATGGGCTCCCTGGGCGAGGGCTGCAGTGGCCCAGCGCCTCGGGGGAAGACGAGGAGCTCATGGTAGAGAGGGCTCAGCGTGTACTGAGCGGCGGCCGCTTTACGATACCACCGCGTGGGATCTTCGCGCAGAACCTCGAGAGCAACCTGGAAGAGCTGAGACACGTGCTGCGCAGTTTGCTTGACTGAACGACGAGGGCGGAGGCGACGGAAGGCGCGGAATGGGGGGGGGATGTGCGGGGGAAGAGGTGGAGGATGAAGCAGACACAGGGTGAGGACACGTGGGAGAACGACGGCGGCGGCGGCGACGACGAGGGGCGCGGGCAGCAGGAGGAGGACAGGGGCGCGGCGGATGAGAAGGAGGAGCAGCAGGGGGGAGGAAGGAGGAAGAGGAGGGGTGGAGGAGGTGGAAGATGAAGTGGTGGAGGTGGAGGCGGAGGTGCATGGGAAGGGAGAAATGGATGGCTGGAGGGAGAGAGGGGAGGAGGGAGGAGGAGGAGGAGCTGGAGAAGAAGGAGGAGGAGAGGAGGAGGAGGAGGAGGAGGAGGAGGACGAGGAGGAGGATGATATAGGGGGAGGAGGGGAGAAGGAGGAGGAGGAGGAGGAAGTAGGAGGAGGAGGCGGAGGAGTAGGAGGAGGAAAAGAGACAGGGACGATGAGCTGGATGAGAAGAGAGGGACGATGAGGAGGAGGAGGAGGAGGAGAGAGGGACGACGAGGGGGGAGGGAAACTGAGGAGGAGGAGGAGGAGGTGGAGTAGGAGGAGGAGGAGGAGGAGGAATAATTGGAGCAGGTGGAGGAGGTGGTGGAAATGGAGATGGAGGCGGGGGCGGATGGGGAGTGATAAATGGAGGGAGGAAGGAAGGGGGGAGGGACGAGGGATGAGATAAAGCATGAAGGAGGAGGGGGTGGGAGGGGGTCAAGTTAGGTGCGCTCGCGTCAACATCTGACATCCTACCCCTCCCTCCCATCCCTTACCATGGCGCTGATTTTCTCTATCCGCGGACGCGTGTCGTAGCGGACCTGTGGCTCCGCGCGCGTGTGCGTAGTGGGTGGTGGTGCGCGTGCGTGCGTGCGTGTGTGCGTGGTTGTGTTTGTTGTGGTGGTGGTGTGTATGTCGATGTGTGTGTGTGTGTGTGTCCGTGTGTGTCCGTGTGTGCGCGTGTGCTGAGGTGTGACGTGGTGTGGCGTCTTGGTGGTTTGGTGGTGGGCCAGGTGCGTACGTGCGTGATGGCGGTGGTGGTGGTGGCGGTGGTGGTGTGTGTGTGTGTGTGTGTCTGTGTGTGTGTGCGTGTGTGTGCGTGTGTGCATGTGTATGTGTGTGTGTGTGTGTGTTTGTGTGTGTGTGTGTGCGTGCGTGCGTGCGTGCGTGCGTGCGTGCGTGCGTGCGTGCGTGTGTGTCTGTGTGTGCGCGCGTGTGATGTGGTGTGACGCGGTGTAGCGTGGTGGTGGTGGGTGGGTAGTGCGGTGGTGGTGGCGGTGCGCGGTGGTGGTGCGCGTGCGTGCGTGCGTGCGTTGGTGGGTGGAAGTGGCGGTGGGTGTGCGTGCGGCGGGGCGGGGCGTGGTGCGGCGCGGTGGTGGCGGGCGGATGGGCGCGCGAGAAAGAGGCCCGCGCTGGGGCGAGGACGCCATCCTGAACGACGGAGGCCAAACACCGATCCGAAAATGAGGCCCACGCTGCAGCGGGAACACGATTCGGAACGATTCGGGAGCAGAAATGAGGCCGGACGCGTTCAGGAGAGCAGCAATTTCGAGAAACATACGCAGGCGAAAACCCAACTCCGGGGAATCGCGCGTGTAAAAAAAACAGCACGCGGGTGGGGTGTGTGGGGGGGGGGGCGAATACGCAAAAGACGTCATCAGGGGAAGAGGGAGAGTAGTATTCATATTGAGTAGTTGTAAAGAGAGAGAGAGAGAGAGAGAGAGAGAGAGAGAGAGAGAGCGAGAGAGAGGGATATAATGAGAGAGATAGGCAGAGAGAGAGAGAACAAAAACAAGAAAAGAGGAAGGGAGACATAGAGAAACAGAGAGAGGGAAAGCAAGAGAGACAGAGACACAACAACGAAACAAAAAGAGGGGGCGGGAGAGAGAGAGAGAGAGAGAGACAGAGAGAGAGAGGGAAAGAGAGACGCACACACACACACACATATATATATATATACACAAGAGAGAGAAAGAGAGAGAGAGAGAGAGAGAGAGCGAGACATGTAACGAGACAGCGATAAAGAGAGAGAGAGAGAGAGAGAAAAAAAAAAAGAGAGAGAGAAAGAAAGACAGCGAGGAAGAAAGGGGGAGGGAGAGGAAGAGGGCGCGGGAGAGGGATAAACATAGAGAGAGAGAGAGAGGGCGGGATACATATATATATATATATATATATATATATATATAGGGAGAGAGGGAGAGAAAGAGAAAAACGAAACAAAAACTCAAACCAAAACAACGAGAGAGGGAGGGGAGGGGGAGGGAGAGAGAGAGAGAGAGAGAGCGAGAGAGAGAGAGAGAGAGAACGAGGTAGCGCGCGAGAAAGTGAAGCGGAGAGAAGGGGGGGAAGGATGGAGAGGAGGGAGGGGGAGAAGGAGGAGGAGGAGGGCCAGTGTAAACCAAAGAGGCATCAACGATGTTGAAATACACCCTCCCTCCAAGCTCCCTCTTCGCAGGCCCCTACAACGGTTCATTTTTTCTGAGGGAACTGCCCCGTTGGAAGTTTGAAGACCCCGAAGCGTGCCGAGACATTGTTTTCGGGTTTCCAACGCCACGGATCGACCTGACGGTTGCGTCTTGACGACCCCGAATCGTGCCAGAACGCCGTTTTTGGGACTTGAGCACCGCGAATCAACACTTGTGCACACTCACGAGCCTGAGTCCTTCAACGCCATTTCTGGTGCGTTGACCATGGGAATCCTTGAGCCTTTCGCACAAATGTAAAACGAGCGTGCGCGGCGTTATGCGAGAGCCAGATTTTGAGAAGGAGCCGCCCTCAATCAGCGAAGCCCTTGCAATTTTTTCAGACGACTGTGCGCGGCGCTAATGCGAGAGCCGCATTTTGAAAACGACCCGCCTTCAATCCGCGAAGCTCTTGTACATTTTAAAACGAACGTGCGCGGCGCTAAGACGAAGACCGCATTTTGAGAACGACTAGCCCTCAATCCGCGAAGCTCTCACACACGTTCAAGACGAATGCGCGCGGCGCTAAGGCGAGAGCCACATTTTGAAAACCACCCGCCATCCGCCTGTGAAATTGTTGCCAATTTTAAGTTTCAGAGTCATACGTGGTGAGGAAGTCTCAGGCGAAACGCCCGGCCCGCCTTAGAAACTGGCTTCGGGGTGCGACAGGGAGAATAGGTTGATTCTCTTGCGCAGGACGTCCAGAGCTCCGACCATTTTATTTCGGCACGGCACCCCCTCCAACACCCACCCATTTCAGCGGCCAGCGCGCCCCTTGCGCGCCCCCGTTTCCCCCGCCGCATCCCCCCGCCCGCCAGCCAGCGCGCCCCTTCCGCCCCGGCCGTTTTATTTCGGCACGGCACCCCCCCTTCCCACGCGCCCCTGCCGCATCCCCCCCGCCCACCAGCCAGCGCGCCCCCTCCGCCCCGACCCTTTTTCTTTCGGCACGGCAGCCCCCCCACCCACCCAGACCACCATTCCCCCATCCGCCAGCAAGCGCACCCCCTCCGCCCCGACCCCCTTATTTCGCCACGGCGCCCCCCCTTCCCTTTCGCGCGCCCCCTCCGCGCCCCCCCCACCCGCCAGCCAGCGCGCCCCGTCCGCCCCGACCGTTTATTTCGGCACGCCCCACCCCCCACATACCGCGCGACCCTCTCCGCGCCCCCCCCCGCCCGTCAACCAGGCGGCGCCCTCCGGCCCCGACATCTTTTGGTTCGGCGCGCCCCCCCCCCATTCCACGCGCTCCCTCCGCGCCCCCCCCGCCCGCCAGCGCCCCCCCTGGACACCCCCACCAACCAGCTGGCGCGCCCCCTCCGCCCCGACCACTTTACTTCCGCACGGTCCATAGCCATGTTGGCTCAAGTCCCAAACCTTGCCCCGAGGCTTGGAGCTCGGTTGCTGCCGAGGGGCGGGCTCGAGAGCCCGCCCTCGGTCGACAGCTGACCTCGCGCGTCCCTCGCGCGCGCGGTATGCCCCCCTACCTTGCTTGCTCATCTCCAATCCCCGCAGGACCGGTGCGTTCTGCAAGGCCTGTTTCCCTGGTCGGTCTCCCCAGGACAAAGCCCAAGGACAAGCGGGACAAGGGGAAGGACAAGGACGGACAAAGGGAAAGAGCAAGAAGGGAAGGACTCGTGGGGCGGCCGACGCCGCGGGGGGGGGGGCTCTTGCTGCTGCCGCCGCTGCTGCTCGTCCATCGTCTTCTGATCCCGAGCAGCCCCTCTTCTATGAGTCTTTCATTGATGCCCTACTGTCTGATGCTGTCCAGGCACGTTTTGGGTCTGATGTATGTGATGAAGATTTCGGAGGA